TTATTTGACAGGGATGATGGCCCTGGCAGGTGCGCAACCGTTGTTGCAGAAGTTCGAAAAAGTTGCTCGCAAAAGCCCGTTTGACAGAAATCCTACGAATCCGCAAGAGCGCGCGGGATGAAATTTTGACATTTTTTTGAAAAACCATTGGTTTTTATGTTTTTATGTTAAAATCGCTACGAAAACTAAGGTTTTGGAAGGATTTCGTCTTGCGCGCGCGAATGTCCACTTTACCTTATTTTTTGCAAGGGATTCTTGAAGTTTGGTTATGTTATGTCCACTTTAGCTTATTTTTTGCAAGGGAAAACCGATCGTAACAACACAACCGGATCCGGACTAGACTTCCTCGCGCTGCGGCCTAGGCGCGGCGGGGGGGTCGTGCACCAGGGGCCCCAACAATAATTATTCTTAAGAAGAAATAATGTTCAACAACAATAACAACAACAACAACAACAACAACAAGAGCAACAACATCAACAACAACAACAACAACAACAACGGCAACAACAATACTCTTAAGGCGGTTCGCCCTTATATGCTCGAGTGTCCAATAACGCGTATATCCCAAACCCTCGATACCCGCCCTCTTCGTCTTCGATCGAACCCCATTTGGGGGGTATACCTTTCTTCCCTGCAGGCCCGGCCCCGGCAAGCGGCGGGGCGGCCGCGGACCGTCGGCCTGGCCAGCGACAGCGCTGATCACCCGACCCCAAGAGGGACGGACAGGGGACCGACCCCGACGACGACGACGACGACGACAACGTCTACGACCACGGCGACGACGACGAGGACGACGGCGACGAAGAGCGAAAGCGAGAGCGAGAGAGAACGACGGCAGGGCCACGAAGGACACGAAGTAGGCCACGAAGGGCGACAGCGGGGACACGAAGGGAAGGCGTATGAGGCCACGAAGAGCGCGAACGAGCGGGGGACACGAAGGGCAGATAATGAGGGGCCACAGAAGGCAACTATGGGGCTACTGAGGGTAGCAACTGGGCCACGTAGGACAATGAGGGGGCCACAAACAGCGACAGCGGGGCCACGAAAGGCATGCACATGGGGCCACAACGGTCGCGACTCGTGGGTGCCTGGGTGTCGGGAGCGCGGCGCTTGAGCAAGTTGCAGGAATTCCAACGCAAAGGCGCTATTCTTCAGTAAGTTGCAAGCATGTCTGCAGCGAGAGCGCGACTCCAGAGCGCCGGGAGAGCGATTCCTGAATAAATTGTAAGGAAGTCCCAAGCGAGAGCGCGATTCCTGTATCAAATGCGAGGAATTCTCGGGCGGGAGCGGGGGTCTTGGTTAAATCGCGAGGAAGTCTTAAGCGGGAACCGTTGTTGTTGTAACCCGGGGGCCAAGGGCCCAGTTTGAGCATCAAGACTTTCCCTGTCAAAGAACAGGGTGCGAGCGTCGAAGGGTACAATTTGATTGAGAAAAAAACAGTATGCACCAGTGGGGGGATCAACAATAATTATTCTTCCGAAGTAAGAGTTCAACAACAACAACAACAGCAGCAACAACAACAACAATCATTCTACCCTCATGCGCGATGCTTCCACACGAAGCATGCGACCATCAGGATAACCGTCCACATCATGGTGGACTCTTGTTCTGTAGCGGGTCCGTTATTCCCATTCCCAGCTATCCCGCCCAATGAGGTCTTGCAAACACTTCCTCTTAGGAATTTCAACATATCCCGCCTCGAAAACACATGCCCGCGGTTTGCTGCGCCGGTGCGAGACAGCCAATGGAACCGCAGCGAAGGGTAAATCACAACGAAGTATCGAACGACAGGATTGTGGGGGGTGTCGGCGGTGCGGCAAGGACCTGGTCCTGAATAGAGAGGGAGGAAGTCTCGAGCAGGGCTGCTGTTGTTGCTGGGAGCGGCGCCGATGCTGAAGAGAGTAGGGCGCTAGTCCAGCGTAAAACAAAACGACGTCTCGAGCGGGAACGCTGGTTTTGTTGGGACGGCGGCTTCCGGCGGCGAGGAGGAACACCACCTTGAATAAGAAGTGAGGAAGCATCGAGCGAGAACCGTGGTTTTGTCGGGACGGGGGCTGTCGGCGGCGAGGAACAGCACCGTCCCGAGGAAAAGAAAGGAAATCTCGAGCGGGAGCGTCGTTCTTGCTGGGAACGGCGCCAATTCAAAAGAGAGTAGGGCGCCAGTCCAGCGTAACGGGAGGAAGTCTCGGGCGGGAGCGCTGGTTTTGTCGGGGCGGCTCTCGACGGCGAGGAGGAACACCGCCTTGAGTAAGAAGGGGGGAAGCATCGATGTATGGACGGGGGTTGTCGGCGGCGAGGAACAGTATACCGTCTTCAGGAAAAAGGGGGAAAACCTCGAGCAGGAGCGTTGTTCTTGATGGGAGCGGCGCCAATTCAAAAGAGAGTTGGGCGCCAGTCCGGCGTAAAACGGAGCGAAGTTTCGGGCGGCAGCGCTGGTTCTGTTGGGACGGCGGTCTTCGGCGGCGAGGAGGAGCACCCTTTGAGTAAAAAAGCGAGGAAGCCTCGAGCGGGAGCGTTGTTTTTGCTGGGGGCGGCGCCGATGAGAGAAAAACTAGCGCACCAGTCCAAGGTAAAACGGGAGGAAGTCTCGAGCGGGAATGCTGGTTTTATTAGGACGGCGGCTTTCGGCGGCGAGCAAAAACACCAGCCCTGAGTAAACATGAGGAAGTCTCGAGCGGGAGCGTTGTTGTTGTTGGGGGGCCAGTTTTGGCTCAAACCGCTCGAGCGTGAACTTCATTTTCAATCATGTAGCCGGCGCCTCGGCGAGAGCGCCAGGGCGCCTAAAAGGGGTCGGTCCAACAGTAATAGTTGTTTAGTAATTAGCACTCAGCAACAACAACAACAACAACAAGAACAGTCATTTTAAGACTGTTCGCCCTTATCTGCTCGAGTGTCCAATAACGCGTGCTTCCCAAACCCTCGATACCCGCCCGCTTCGACTTCGATCGAACCCTTTTTGGGGGGTATACCTTTCTTCCCTGCAGGCCCGGCCCCGGCAAGCGGCGGGGCGGCCGCGGACCGTCGGCCTGGCCAGCGACAGCGCTGATCGGCGGGGCGGCCGCGAACCGTCGACCCGACCCCAAGAGGGACGGACAGGGGACCGACCACGACGACGACGACGACGACGACGACGACGACGACGACGACGACGGCAACGACGGCGACGGCGACGACGACGACGACGAGCGAAAGCGAGAGCGAGAGAGAACGACAGCAGAGCCACGAAGGACACGAAGTAGGCCACGAAGGGCGACAGCGGGGACACGAAGGGAATGCGTATGGGGCCGCGAAGAGCGCGAACGAGCGTGGGCCACGAAGGGCAGATAATGCGGGGCCACAGAAGGCAACGATGGGGCCACTGAGGGTAGCACCTGGGCCACGTAGGACAATGAGGGGGCCACAAACGGCGACAGCGGGGCCACGAAGGGCATGCACATGGGGCCACAACGGGCGCGAACGAGCGAGGGCCACGAAGGGCATACGTATGTTGGGCCGCGGATGGTAAGGACGGGGCCACTGAGGGCAGCAACGGGGACACGAAGGGCAGCGAGGGGGCCACGAAGGACGACAGCGGGGCCACGAAGGGCATGCATATGGGGCCACCACGGGCGCGAACGAGCGAGGGCCACGAAAGGCATACATATACGGGGCCACGAAACAAAGCGAGGGGGCCACGAAAGGCAGCGAGGGGGCCACGAAGGGCAGCGAGGGGGCCACGAAGGGCTGCAACGGGGCCGCGAAGGGCTGCAACGGGGCCACGAAGGGCAGCGAGGGGGCCACGAAGGGCCGCAACGGTTCCTAGGTCATCTTTGAAGGAGTCCTAAGCGTGAGCGCGACTCCTGGGTGCCTGGGTGTCGGGAGCGCGCCGTGGAGTAAATTGCAAGAAATTCCAACGCAAGGGCGCTATTCTTCAGTAGATTGCAAGCAAGTCTCCAGCGAGAGCGCGACTCCAGAGCGCAGGAGGAGCGATTCTGGAATAAATCGCAAGGAAGTCCCAAGCGAGAGCGCGATTCTTGAATCAAATGCGAGGAAGTCTCGGGCGGGAGCGGGGGTCCTGGCTAAATTGTGAGGATGTCTCAGGCGGGAGCCGTTGTTGTTGTAACCCGGGGGCCAGGGGGCCAGTTTGAGCAGGAAGATTTGTTTTGACAAAAACAAAGTGCGAGCCCCGGGGGGGGCACTTCAATTGAAAAATCAATGTGCTTCGATGTGGGGGGATCAGCAATAATTATTTTTCAAGAGTGAGAGTTCAACAGCAGCAGCAACAACAACAGCAGCAACAGCAACAGCACCAGCACCAGCACCAGCAACGACAACAACAATGACAATAACATCAACAACAACAATAATTTGAAAACGGCTCGCTCTCATTTGCTCGCATGCCACTCAGCACGTATATCCCAAGCCCTCGATACCCGCCCTCTTCGTCCTCGATCGTATCCCCAATAGGGGTATATCTTTCTTGCCTGCAACGTGTATTTCGTGCAGCCCCTAACTCAGGGGAAGAGAGGACGGATGGAAGGAACGGGAAAGGAGGGAAGGGAGGAGGATGGAGCACGAGAGAAAATATCAGGAGGGGGCTGGGAGCAGAGAACGCGTGGCAGAACTGGGCGGGTAGACTTGAAAGGGCGGGTAGGGAAGGCGGGCCCAGGCGGCCAGGTCGAGCAGGCGGGCTGCTGAAGCGTGCGTCCTGCATGAGTCGCGAGGACGTCTCGGCCTCCGCGCGTTCTTTCGCGCGCCGCGCTGGGCCCGCCTTCAACGCCGAACCGCCGAACGAGCCTTGCATTGGGGCCCCCGCGCGGCGATTTTGCCTCAGGCCACTCCCTTGAGATCCGACGTTGCCCACAAGAATGCACCATCGCAGGAAATCAGGACTGGAGCCCCAGGCACCATCGTTCTGCGCCACCATTTTGCGAGCCGGGTCGATCTGTGAGGGTGCCGAGGCCCGAAGTTGAGGGAAAACGCCCGTTGTGAAAAAATTGCAACCCCAGGATCTCAGGGTCAGGGCCCCCGCGCAGCAATTTTGCCTCAGGCCACTCTGCCGCCAGCCCCTCGCCTCCGCTTAAGGCGGGCATGCCCCTCCTCTACAGGAGGAACATTCAAGAATAGTATAAAAATCGTCCGCGGACGATTTGTTTTGTTTTTGTGTATTTGCATATTTTTGGGTATGCTTGGACTATAAAAAATGTGTATTTGGGAGTATGCTTGGCACGTTTGTTGTGTTTTTTTGTGTATTTGAATATTTGTTGATTATTTGAATATTTGCATATTTTTAGTTTGGAATGTTTTATATGTTTGGACGATGTGAAGATCTGTTCTCCCAAATCCGCCTGTAGGAGGACATGCCCGATCTAAGCCTCCGCCGATCTCCCCGCCGCGCGCGTGGCCTCCGCGCGTTCTTTCGCGCGCCCTCTCGCTGGGCCGCGCCGCGCCACGCCGAGCCGCCGCACGAGCGGGAAGGGGGACACGTGAGACTCGAGCTTCGGGTCGGACAAAACTCAGATCCCCTCGCGCCGTGAAAAAGATACAAACAATCACGACGGGAGGTTTTTCTTCATTTTCGGCCTAGAGGGGCCCTCACCGGGCCCCAGGAGCGTCGAAAAACAGTTCAAGATGAAAGACCGGTCCCGGGGAAGGGGTCCAGACCTCAGGGGGTCGACTTTGCGAAAAAATCGCGACGTCGGGGGCTTGGGAAGGGGAGGAGTATGGAAAGGGCGGGGCACGAAATCTGCCACCTGCAGCCCATTCCGGCCCCACCGCCGGGCGCCTTCCTCGATACATTGGCGCCTCCGGCGCCGGGAGGCGCCTGGGAAATGAGCTACGTGAGCTGATTCGCCAATCCTTTGGACGCCCGAAATGGGCACGGAAAGAATGGGTACGATGCCCAACAACAAATGTTGTCCCAAACCAACAGCGGCCGCCGTTGGGCGGGCGGCCTTCTGTCTCGAATGGACACGGGCCGAGGCGGCGTGGACAGCGAGTCCTGTTCAAAATGAACAGGAACTGCTGTTGGGCATCGTACCCATTCTTTCCGTACCCATTTCGGGCGTCCAGAAATCCCTTTTTCGCTATCCGCCCCTTCCGTGCGACCCGAGAGTTCGCCAGGACTCGGGCTTGCCGACGCTTTTGGGCCAGCCGAGCCCGTCCTGGATCTTGACGGTCCAGCTATCGTGGGAGGTCTGCAGCGGGAGCTCGCGTCGAATAGTTCGACTGGGTCTCGTCATTTTCCTGACAGCCCCGTCAGGCCAACCCGAGTTCCCCGAACCCGACTCTTACGTCTCCCCAGTTAGAAGCGGCGCGTGCAAAGGAGCTCTTCCTCGGACGTCTTCTGACTCGAGGAAGAGAAAACTGCAGATCGCGCACACACACACACACACACACACACACACACACACACACACACACACACACACACACACACACACACACACACACACGCACACACACACACTTTCGGAGGTCCGCGCGGATTTCTTCGGTCGGCGCTGGGGCCCCCTGGCAGCGCCTCCGGCGCCTCCCCTGGCGCGCTCCGCGCGCCAGGAAGTGGGTCCAGCGCAGATCCAATAAATTCGCTCGGACCGTCGAAAGCTTATGTTTATGATGTTTTGTCTTCCTCTGCTGATGTTGTTCGCTGGGTTTCAGGACCTTGTCGCCAGCTCTAGCTTCAGATTGTACCGGACGTGCGCCCCAAGACGGAGCGAAAGAGTACGGCGGAGATTTCAGCTTCGGGAAACTAGGGGCGGATCTCTACGCAGCAAAGTAGAACGGAAATCGACATCAAAGGAGCTTGAGCGGTAGTGCGGACATGTCCGCCCTTGGCGAAGGTCCCGCGCCAAACCGACGTTTTCAATCTGCGTGCTGAGCTCCGTGTCAACACGCTACGGGTTGCGTGATGCGTATCGGGGCAGCCAGGTCCTTACGAGGCCTCTTCCTTCTACGAAGTTTCCTCCTCCACCTCTTCCTCCTCCTCCTCCTCCTATTCTTCCTCCTCCTTCTCCTCCTCCTCCTCCTCCTCCTCCTCCTCCTCCCCCTCCTCCTCCTCCTCCTCCTCCTCCTCCTCCTCCTCCTCCTCCCCTCCGTAGCCATTTTGGCTCAAGTCCGCGGCATACCCCGTTTGTCTTGCAGAGCCTGGTCCGCCCCAGGCCTCTGCGTGCCACTTGCTGCCCGCAGGTGAGCACGTCCGCGCGGCCGCCGCGCGACCGATGGGATACGGCAGTGGGAACGCAGCGGGGTATATTGGTTGCAAACAGTGTGGATACAAGTGGAAATGGAGCAATAAGACCGAGTGCTTCAAGTGCAAGGCAAAGCTCCTCCCCACCATCGGCGACCCACCACCACCGTCTGGAGTATGGGCACAGAATGGCAAGCATTCTGCGGGTTGGTCAAACTCGGGACGGCCGTGGAAGAAGTGGGCACCGTGGAGGCGTACCACCCACTACGGCGACACGGCAGGCTGGAGCAACGCGGAGGAGCAGATGTGCGACGTCGGGCAGCCCGACCCGCTCACCACGTCTTCCCCCGTCGAGAGCTTGGCAGCATACCAGGGCGTCGGCGACCAGTCCGACCCCACCATCACGGCCGCCTTGGACACCCTGCGTCGCAAGGCCCAGGAGGAGGAGCAGAACGCCAAGCCAGCCCCAGCACCGCCCAAACACCGTACGGGTGCGCAGCTCCTGGGCGAGGCCAATCGTGCGCTCAAGGACCTCGACAATCGCATCGGCAAGCAGAGGAAGAAACTCACGGACGCGCAGCTGTACTTGGATGACCAGAACGACTACATGGAGAAGTTGGTGCAGCAGCGAGTCGAGGTGCAACAACGGCATCTCTTGGCCCTCCAGCAGGCCAATCAAGAATCGGGTATCCTCGTGGTCAATACAGAGGAGAAGATCGGCAGCGGTACCCTCAAGGTCAAGTTCGAGTACGACGGCACGCTTTTCGAAGGCCTCGAGGAGTGCGACATTCCCAAGGACGAGATGGACCGCATCATGCAGTGGAAAGGAGAGCTTGAGCAGTTCCAGCAGGAGCAGCTCGGCGCGCTACGAGCGAAGTTCAAGTACATCGAAGAGATTCACGAGAAGGCTAAGAAGGCCTTGGCTGCCCCCAAAAAGAAGCGGAAGGCACTGGCACCTGGCGGCGACGGCACGAAGGTGGAGGCAGTTGACGAGGGGCCCCCTGCAGCGGATGCGGCTGCGGCTTCGGCGGCAGCGGCGGCAACTTGCAGCAGTCGAACGGGCGGCGTCAACCCTGAAGAGGAGAAGCAGAATATCCGAGAGGCCAATCAAGCGGCCTTGGAGCAGGCCCGTGCAGAGAGGCGCAAGGCTCGCGAAGCAGATGATAAAGGTGATAATGCTGCTACTGGTGCTGGCCAGTCGCAGGTTTAGCGAGCCCCAGCCCGACCAACAGCAGAGCGACCTGTTCCAGGTCCTCTTCGGCAACAACACGGAGCGGGGCCCGCAGGTGCAGAACTACATAGAAGGCCCCAACAGCAAGCAGTTCGATTGCATCGCTTTCGTGGAGACCCACAAGGGGCCTGCGGATGTACTCGGTATGAAGACGTTTTTGCAGAAGGAAGGTTGGAAGGCAGCGATCACTCCCGCAGTACCCAGTGGCAAGTCGCACAAAGGCTTGTCGGCTGGAGAGATGGTCGCCACGCGCACGCATATCCAGGCCACGTCGTTGGAGCACTGGAAGGGCATACAGGACAAGCAAGGCGACGCTACCTTTGTGGGTTTCTCCCCAACGATACTCTACCTCAGCGTCGGCAATTTCATCCTCACCGCGGCGTATTTGCAACCGAGGCTGAACTTCGCGGGCAGGAATCGGAAAATCATGGCAGCCCTCACTGCTTTTGTAAGATTGCAGAAGGGCCCATGGCTTGTACTGGCAGATTGGAATTGTGTACCCAGCGAACTACTTGCCTCAGGTTGGATAGAGCAAATGCGAGGAGAAATTGTCACGGGGCCAGAGGAGGTGACATGCGATAAAGGCAAAGGTTCGTTATATGATTATGGAGTGGTCTCGGCAGGGTTCAAGGGCGGCCTCGCCATCGCCGAGGAGCTTGCAGTACCGTGGGCCACGCATTGTGGGCTACGGATACGAATGGCGGGAAAGAAGCAGCGTTGGTGGCACCGCACGTTGGACACCCCAAAAAGTTTACCTGCAGAGCCGAGGCCGAAGAAACGGAAGGACACCAACGGCAAGCGGAGCAAACAGCTACAGCGCCTACAGCAACGACGTGAGGCATTGGCCCCAGAACTACGACACGGATTCAATCTACTTGAGCAGGACCCAGAGGCAGAGGTTCAGGACACATCCCCGACATCAGAGACGCGAACGGAGGCCCATTCAACGACCCCCTTCAACATCAGCGATGACACCTGGGAGCACGCCACAAGGGGATTACCTGGTTATATTCATCTTCGACGGGAACGGCGGCGACCGCGAGCTTATCGCGAGCGTCCCCTACTGGCGCAGCAATTGGCGAACAGCTACGGCAGGTGGATCACGACTTTAGAGGAGGCCATACTACAGCATTCAGAAGCACCAGTGCATCAACGAGATAGTTTTCGTGGCAGGGCGCAGGGCTTCGGCATCAAATGGAAGCAAAGCACGGCAGCACCAGGCAGGCCTCAGTTGTACAACCCCGGGGCAGATTGGTGGGCGGTCACTCGTACTCAGGCGGTCGCAATCAGTGGCCTGGTCAAGAACAATAGGGACCCGCGGCAGTTGCAGCAGAGAGGGCAGGATTTTCGGCAGCGTATACGGCAGGTGCACGCGGTCAGCAAGCACAAAGACGTGGAGCTCCTCAACCAGTGGCACCAGCAGGCGCGCGACATCTTCAGCCCAGTACGACAGGAGCGAGAAGACGCGATAGAGATCACACAGAGATTGGCAGGTCAAGCAGCGAGGCGCGCAATGGCCGACGGCGCCAAGGGCTTCATCAGGTGGGCGCAGGATATGTGGAAGAAGACCCCAGGCGCATTACATCGATGGACAAAAGACAGCCAACAACCACGGCTCGAGGAGATGATCTCAGGCAAGATAGTGGCGGACCCTATTCTCATCATGAATCACAAGAGCGACACTTGGGCCAAGAAGTGGACCGCCACATCGCACTGACAAGCAGCATTTGCATAAGCACTCCACCGTTGCCGACAGCAGGCTGAGCGGGAGGAACTACCGCAACTTACCATCCAGGAGCTCGACGCGGCGACAAGACGCATGGGGGTCAGGAAGGCAAGAGGGATCGACGCAATTGGGCCGTTAGATATCGAGCGACTCCCAGATCAAGCGAAGACAGATTTTTTCAGTATCATCGCAGACGCCGAGAGCTATCTCATGCGGCCCCCACAAGTTCTCGGCACCATCGGAGCTATTGCGGGCAAACCAGCTGGAGGTGATAGGGTTCTGGGGCTGCTACCTATGACAATGCGTATATGGTCGCGGATGCGGTCAGGGGTGGTAGAGT